CTTCTCTTTTCATTTTTTCCACTCATTCTGACATCCCCTTTTCCAGTTATCAGTCCATTCTTCTGAAACTAAATGAATCACTCAGATTTGTGTATATCATGTATATTAGTAAGCTATAGTTACATTTTAATGGGATGTCATTATATTTCTTATACATTGTTCAGGCTTTTTACACTCAGCAGTAATTGTTTCATGTTAGTACACACATGCACACACTCCATCTCACCTAAATTTCATGATTAAGAATCTATCCATCCAAAAAAATATATATATACACACTTTCACTTGCTTAACATTAGATAATTAAATTATGAAATAAACATGTTTTGTTTTGTCTCCATGTGTGAATCCTTTGGGAAGAATTTCTCAGATCGATTTAGTGCCAATGACTATTCAAAATGCAGTTTTTCAACTGATGCCTCTTCCCCTTATGGCCACCAGGGGGCAAATCAAGCGAATCATCGTCTGCAGGCTTGGCTCAAAGGGAAACTGGGAGGGCAGTGAGGGTTACCTGGTATTTGAGTGAATCAAGTTCTCTGCATTTTGATAGTTGGACTCCAGCTGGAGCCTTCCTTTCCCAGTCTACCGGCAGAGGCTGAGCAGCTGTGAGCCTGACTGAGCCTTGTCATTTGGAAGTGTCCCCCTCTGCCTCTGCTGTCTGGTGAGAAATGACAATGATGATTACAGAACCTTCATGTGGGAGACCACTACCAGCATGGGATCACTCATCCCAAGGTTAAAAAGAAACCACTTGTGTATTCTGCAAGCCAGTGGATGGGTTCTGTGCTAGAGATGGGTGTGTATGACACACTGTTGAATGGTGTTGAGACACGGGATGAGGGGAATGGAGGATCCATGACACTGGGTTCTTGAATCCATGCACAGAAAGGTGCATAGTACCTTTCTGTCCAGGTTCAGACCTCATCAGGTGAACAAGTCTATGTTCCTGTGTAAATATTTAAACAACCAAATATCAATAAGCAAGTTGGGGTTGGAGGTATAGCTCAGAGGTAGAGCACCTGCCTAGCACAATCCAATACCCTGTGTTCAAACTGCAGTGCTACTAAGAAGAGCCAGATTTGTGGTATTCTTTTTTCTTTCTGAAAATAGGCTGTCTTCAAAGGAAACTGAATTGAAGGCAATAAGGGTGCAGCATTATCAAACACCAGGTCACAGATGGCAGCTGTACATACAGGGCTTCAGTCTTAGAAGGGGAATCTACTCAATGCTCTTCCAGACCCTGTCACATAGCCTATGTCAACAGCAGCTCATCTGCTATGACTGGATCTTCACCTATAGCACATACAAAAACATCTCCCATGTGATGTGGTTCACATGAGCGACTCATCCACAGTGTGGCCCAAGTTCTTCACTTTAGTCTGAGAGCAACAATATGCAAGACTCAATCTACACTGTTATTTTAAGCTTTAGCCATATGCCCAATACAAACATGTAACAGATCATCTTTATTTAGCCATGGTTGTCTGGATTATACATACACACACAGCATGAGGGAAAAGGCTTTTGCATCTAAGAGACCCTTGAAGTGGATGCAACCCAAGTCAGTGTTGAAAGGGAGAAGCAGCAGCATCCAGTTCACTTCACTAATGAGATTAAAGATTCCTGATGAATATATTCATCAGTGCATCTCAGCATCACAGCCTATCCTGAGTGTGCAGACCTTGACTGATACAGATCGAGGTTCAGGCTTTCAGTGGTTCCCATTCGTCCTTGGCTGCTGCTACACAATCGAGTTCTATGAGACTAAGGCTGCTCACAACAGTCAGGGACTCCTGCTTCCAGTGTTTTCCCCTGGAGTATTATCTGCTCTAAGGCAGCGGATCTAAAATGCATTTTCCCCTGGGACAGCCCTGACCATCACAGCTAGTGTTGACATAGTACACAAACACCTGAGAAACCTCACACATTGCACTTTTCTGTGCATGGATTCAAGAACCCAGTGTCATGGATCATACACACCCATCTCTAGCACAGAACCCATCCACTGGCTTGCAGAATACACAAGTGGTTTCTTTTTTAACCTTGGAATGAGTGATCCCATGCTGGTAGTGGTCTCCCACATGAAGGTTCTGTAATCATCATTGTCATTTCTCACCAGACAGCAGAGGCAGAGAGGGAAACTTCCAAATGACAAGGCTCAGTCAGGCTCACAGCTGCTCAGTCTCTGCCGGGAGACTGGGAAAGGAAGGCTCCAGCTGGAGTCCATCTATCAAAATGCAGAACCCTACCAATTTCCCTTTGAGCCAAGCCTGCAGACAATGGTTGGGTCGGTTCGCCCCCTGGTGGCCATAGGGGGAAGAGGCATCAGTTGAAAAACAGCATTTTGAATAGTCATTGGCACTAAATTGAACTCTGAAATTCTTCCCAAAGGATTCACATGTGAGAAAAACCAAAAACCAAAAAAAAAACTAACAAAACCATAAAAATTATATAAACATGTTTACTTCATAACTACCTTATTTGATCAAGTAAAACTACGTATATATCCATGAATGGATAGATTTTTAATCATGAAACATGATTGGCATGGAGTCTGTGTTTATATGCGTGTGTGTGTGTGTGTGTGTGTACTAACAAAACAATTACTACTGAATGTAAAAGTCTGAAAAGTCTATATGAAATATATCATGGCATCTAGTTAAAAATGCAAGTATAAGGGCTGGGAAGGTGGCTCAGTGGTAGAGTGCTTGCCTCGCATGCATGAGGCCCTGGGTTCGATTCCTCAGCACCACATAAGCAGAAAAAGTTGGACATAGCGCTGTGGCTGAAGTGGTAGAGTGCTAGCCTTGAGCTGAAGAGCTGAGGGGCAGTGCCAGGCCCAGAGTTCAAGCCCCATGACCAACAAAAAAAATGTAACTATAACATATTAACATACATGATCTACACAATTCTGATCCATTTAGTTTCAGACCAGCTTGAGCTAAACACTGAGGCCTTGGGGATACACTCATCTAAATGATAACATACACTCACACTGTCATGCAGCCTTCACCACAGCTCAGCTCCAGCATGTTTCTATCCCACAAAGCAGAAACGCATTCCCTGTCTAGCTCCTGGCAGCCACCATTCTACTTCCCATCTAGTTCAACTGACTAGTTGAGTGTGTAATTGACCATTTAAGTTACACGTTTTATTTGCAAATAAAAACGTATTTTGTGATCCTATTCTTATAATTTATCCACAGGGCACTTGTACTCATGTTTGTGACAAGAAAGCTATGCAATCAATGAACTATGTCTAATAAAGGAATGGATAATAAATTATGGTACTTGTTCATGTAGGGAAATGGTATATATCTGGACCCATTGAGTAGATATATGGGTAAGGAAGTGTAGAAGTGTTATAGTTCTCATTTGTTTGGAATAGAAGCAATAAGTAATATCAATAATTAACATAATTAAAAATGTGTCTGAAAGCACACATTAGAGCGAAAATAATAAGTACAAGCATTACTTTCATTATGATAGTTAATTCAGAAACCTCAAGAATCAAATAAGCTTTGCACAGAAATCAAAAGGCTTCATGTATTCAAACTATCAGCTACAAAAAGGAAGGATGGGATATCTAATATAAAATAACCACCAGTTGGCCTCATGTCTGTAACCCTAGCTACTCAAGAGGCTGAGATCTGAGGATCATGGTTTGAAGCCAGACTGGGCAGAAAAGTTTATAAGACTCATATCCAATTACCTACTGAGATGCTAGAAGTAGAACTGTGGCTCAAGTAGCAGAGCAAGCTTGCCTTGAACAAAGTTCAGGGACAGTGCCCAGGATCAGAGTTCAAGCTCCAGGCCTGGCACAAAAAACCCCACAAGTAATTTAATCATAAATACTGAAATTAGTGCACTTAAAAAAAATCAAACAACTAGTGGAACTTTGTCTCTACACTTACAGATAACGTTTTTAAGACACACATCGAAAGCCACTTAAAGCTTTATAAATTAAGACTACGAAGCAGAATTTTAGATTTTTCGTGTCAACAAACTATTCAAGAGACATACAATAAATGGAAATTTCTGTCTCCTATACTAAGGACTCCTACAAATTAAAAGGAAATAGAACAATAAAGAGTTCTCAGCAAATAACACACACATAGCTGAAAAAGATATGTTTGGCTTAATTCATAGAAAAAATGCAAATTAAGACTATAAGGAGCTGGACACTGGCGGTTCATGCCTGTAATCCTAGCTACTCAGGACCCTGAGATCTGAGAATTGTGGTTCAAAGCAGCCTAGGCAGAAAAGTCTGAAATTCTTATTCCAATTAACCACCAGAAAACTGGAAGTGATGCTGTGGCTCAAAGTGATAGAGCATTAGCCTAGTGAAAGAAATAAACGACAGCACTTAGGGCCTGAGTTATGGCCCCATAGCCAATGCCATGGTGGCTGAAGATACTGCAAAAGGAAGTGATTCACCTCACACTCCTGGACTGTGGGCCGCAGATGTTTTCAGGAAGACCTGTGCAACCTGAGGGCCCTTCTAGCTTTAAAGTCAATAAAAGCAGAAGTGTACCTATTTAGCAAGATCAAGATCCTGAGTTCAAAACCCCAATACTGACCACCCCCAAAAAATATTTCCAAGAATAGAGATTTTCCACTGAATGGTACTGTAAAAGACAGACAGCTTTTTTGTTTATTGTTTGTTTTTTTTTTCCACAAAAACTTTAAGACTCTGGATGTATTTTGGAAGTTTTCCTGCTACACAGAAGGAAGGGACCAAAGTCATGCTGGCCCAGTTTTGGCTTAAAAAGGTCAGGGTTTCCAATGTGTCTTCTTGGGAAAGTTCACATGCATTGTCACGAATGCTTGCCTACTGGAACAGATCCATTAGTCAGCTGCCTCCAACCTCCCACTGTGTGTATTTGGTTGGAGTATTTGTTACAACTAAATCACATGGGTCTGTTTTATGGACTTTATTTGTAACAAACACATAAATAATCAATGTGAAAAAGAATCAAGGTTTGAAGTAAGAGGTCAGTCTTTACACAGTATCTTCTGGAGAGTGTCCCCATCTGCATTTCACTTTCTCAAACGCTTATAGTCCATGAGCAGCACAATTAGCCTGTTACGCAGGGTTCGGATCTTGCTTGAATAGTGCTGTTGAAACAGGTTCTTCAGCTTCTGCCTTAACAAATCCAAAGATGGGAGATGGTCGCAGTCTGGTATATTCAACATGGTGTGGAAAAACTCCTCCCACATCTCCAGATGAGGAAGCCTGAAGAGACAAAGCATCAACAGTGGATAAAACACAGCCTTCAAAACACACAATATGCTCACACATTGACTCCTGAGAGCCTGGATGGTATAAGAGGACAATTCCCACCTAAAAACCATTTACTGATTGAGAATGGAAGAACTGTCAGGTATAGTGGCTCAAGCCCATAATCCTAGCAACTTGGGAGCAGAGATTGAGAAAACATGGCTTGGGAACAGCCCAGACATCCCCAAACTATGAGGGAAGCCCAGCCTTTGCAAGGTGCAGTGGCCTGAGTCTGTCATTTCCAGTGATGACATGGGGAAGCCTAAGGAGAAGGATCCAAGTGAGGGATGAAGTGAGACCTATCTCAGAAATAACCAATGCAAAAAGGGGGATGGAGGTGTGACAAGAGGTAGAGTGCCTGCCTAGCAAGCACAATGCCCTGAGTTTTTCCAGTAATCCCCCCCCCAAAAAGAAAAAAAATATGGAAGCACTGAACCTATCATAAACAAGAACAACAAAAGATCCAACCAAACATCTGAACACATTCGGTTTGAGAAACATGGTTGAAAAGCTATCTGCTTCTGGCTGGTTGGGAATAGTACAGAATAGTCAGAATCTCATAATGCAGCTGAACCAAGGAGACAGCAGACAGGCTGCACTGCTCTGAGTGTGCTCAGTCTTTAGAGTTCCAGACACTGCCAACTTCATTTCTTGGTGAGAATCCGCTAGGGAGAAAATACCACACTGATGTTGGACTCCACACTCCAGAGCCTGGTCACCGGGCCTATGGAGGGGAGCTTCAGTCTTTCCCTTCACTTGCCAGAGCTGGAAGCCTTCTGAACAATCATCTGGTCCTCCCATTATGAGCATGAGAAAGAATGCAGGAAGAATGCTCAATCTGATGACTCATTACGCAGAATAAAACATACCTGTTTTAGTTTTCCTGTAGAGATTGAACCTCATCTATGTATGGCACATGACATTTCATAAAATTATTACCAGCTGCTTTTTTGTTCTTCAGTTTTGGAAGATGATAGGGAGAGTGAGGAAAATCCAAGTTTTAAGTTTTTGTTTCTAAAGAATATCAACATGTAAACTTCCAGTAAGCTGTGTGTATGAGAGTACTTTTCTGTATGAGTTTTTATTCCTCAAAAAAATTAAGAGAAGGTGGGGCTTGGAAGGCAGCTCAGTGGCAGAGTGCTTGCCTCACATGCATGAGGGAGGTCCTGGGTTCGATTCCTCAGCACCACATAAACAGAAAAAGCTGGAAGTGGCATTGTGGCTCAAGTGGTAGAATGTTAGCCTTGAACTGAAGAGCTGAGGGACAGTGCCCAGGCCCAGAGTTCAAGCCCCACGACCGGGCAAAACACAAAACAAACAAACAAAAAGCATTAAGAGAAGGAAGTATAAGTCATATAAGGAACATACATGTACCTAACCTTACATAGCACCAGTAGTTTATTCACAAGGTGCTACTCTGGAAGAGCCATCCACACCGACAGGATGAGCTCCAGACCATTCTTGCAATTGTGTAGATCAGAACAAACTGTTAGTGAACTAAAGTAAGGTAAAAATGGAATTTAAAATTTGTCCTATAATAGAAAGCTGTGTCCTCCTACTATATAACTTTCAAAGCACCTTCATAATTTCCTTTGCTTCTTATGAGAAACATCTGAGAAGAATCTGCATTATTCCCATTACAGAGACAAAAAAACACATGGGAAAATCCTGAGGCTCAGTGACATTAGGTGAGTCTTCCCTCCCATGGGTAGAGAGAAACACTGGAGTTCACAGTATCCAACCATGCAGCTGGCAATTTTCAGTGATGCCATGCAGCACTGGTTGCTCCTGGCCCTTTTCATCTGGTGCTGGGGATGGAACCCAGGCCCTTTTGGAATTGAGCTACTCTCTAGTCTTTGGCTGCTCCATTTTTACATGGGGGGGAAAACAGCAGTGGTGGCGCTATGTGATCTGAGCATTGCCTGTGTCAGTACTGAGCTGTCACCACACTGCCCAAGACAGGTTTTCCATGCAGCAACAGAACTCCTTTTTCTGCCAGACAAAACCCACCACCATTCTGCTATATCTATTCTTTTCACTGTCACACTATTGCCAAGCCCCACCTTCTAAAAAGACCTTCAGGCTTCCAGACACCTCCTACATTTTTCACTCTCATGTAAGTGCCAAAGAGCATGCAGTATACTGTTGCGGCAACGCCAAAGTAATCAATCTGTAGAGAAAACACAGGTGCATGTCACTCAGTAGTAATTTGCACACGAGCCTATAAATATATAACTTTTAACTTGGACACTGTTATATAACCGTAGGGCTTTAAAGATTTCTTTGAAAGCTACTGAGATGCCCCACTGCTTGTCTAGGCCCTGCCTGAAGCTTCCATGGGAGAGCAACACCCTTGTCTCCCGAGGTGGCCCCTTAGAAAGCTCTGTGCTTCTTGACCTAGTTAGTGTTCTTCCCAAGTCTTTTATTCTGTTGCATGCAGTAACTACAACAGTAGAATTGCTTTGCTTGGGAGCTCCAACACCTTCCCTTGGGATTCTGGTGGTTATATGATGTTTATAACTGAAAAGAACGCTCCATTGTGGCCCAAGTCTATAAGACAACAGACTGTCTGTCCCCCTCCATGCCTGAGGAAATTGGAGATTAGCATGTGTGCAGGTGGAGGTCTTATTGGCAGTAGAATAGAAATCAGACTTGCACCCTGGCCCCTTTTAACTATGGCTCCTGAAAAGCCATAGTTTCTACCCACATGGAAACTGGGTAGAGATTTTGTTAACCTAGTTTCAAACTTTACATTTGTCCAAGTTAGTATTCTCTTTACTTGAGAACTAACATTGATGGAACTTGTGCCACTTCTCTTTAGGCTAGATAATATTGATGCAATCTTTTGGATGAGGTATTCTGGGAGGACATCTGGCAGCATCATCTTATAGCAGTCAGGTTCACCTTCTTGCCTGTGAAAACAGCCAGGTGTGTACAACACTGGCTCAATTCTGCCCACAGTCAATAGGCTGGGGTGTCCAGCTATTTCTGCCCCCAAAAAGGAAACCAAGCTGCTTTCATCTACAACTGAAGCTGGATCCTGGTAGCATGACTTCCTTTTGAAAGGTCACAAATCAGTGCTTTTTCCTAGGATCAAACTTTGACAATGAATTTGCTTCCCTTTGCTGATGATAGACTTGAGAAAGGTATATTGCTCAGGAGTAATTCTATCTTCCCCCTCAGCCATAAGTTTGACCTTTCCTTTACCCACTAGTTCAAACTAAGTAGAATCCCAAATTCATTTTGAAAATCTGATAAGAGAGAGAGGAAAAAGTTTTCAAAGCTCTTGTTTTACTCCCATACCTGGTAGTTCCATGGTTTGTTACTGAGCATTTCTGTACACTGAAAACCAGAAGTTTCACACTTGGCTGTAAATGTAGTTCCTTTTGGAAAAAGTCTCATATCGATACTCTGACCCAGGTCAATCAGTGCCAAGCCAGCAGCTAAATCATCATCATCATCCTGTTTCAAAAATCTAGAGTAAACAAAAACATGGGTCAAGATGCATGAGCACAAACAGCAAGCGGCTGCTAGAGAAGGGTGAAGGAGGCCTGTTACAGAGCACTTGCCTGTTTCCCAGGATGAAATTGTCTGGTTTAATGTCTCCATGAATGATCTCACAGCTGTGAACTTGTTCAATCATGTGGAGCATTTTGATAGCGAAAGAGATGACGATAGCCTGCGGCATCACTTTTTCAGGGGTATTTTTATAGAGGTTAATGGCATTCTAGAAACAATGCAAGTGACACCCAGAGTTGGTTGTGGAGGATACGTGAAATTTCTAGTCAAAAAGGCTTTGCCTCACCCTCCTGTCCAGCAAAAGTTCCAACCACAAAAGACAGGTGCAAGGCATAAAGCAGAAATGCTCTTCAAATTCATGACCATATCGTGGAAACAAAACACTTACTAATAATGTTCCATAGCTGTAGAGCTCTCCTACTAATATGCTGCCATTTTGGAATAAGTGGGCAGAATAGAACTTGATAAACATGTATTCCATGGTTGGCTTGAGTCTCTCCATTAGCTGGGTCCCAATGTAGAATTCCCAGGGGTTGGCAGGCTTCTGGACCTGTTAATACAAAACAGATCCATGACATTCATATTCCATTTCACATTCTGGATAGGATACCCAGAAAGCAAGCTCCATTCCAATAAAGGACATGTTATAAAGAGAGATGATAATCTATGAACTGCTTTACAACATGGGGCTTACTACTACAGGATAATTTTAGTGGCAAGGCACTTCTGAGTCTTCACAGGTTAGTTCTTTTTTTTTTTTTGGAGGGGGGGTCCAGTCGTGGGGCCTGAACTCTGGGCCTGGGCACTGTCCCTCAGCTCTTCAGCTCAAGGCTAATGCTCTACCACTTGAGCCACAGGCCCACTTCCGGCTTTTTTCTTTTTTCTTAGGTGGTGCTGAGGGATCGAACCCAGGGCCTTATGCATGCAAGGCAAGCACTGTACCACTGAGTCACCTTCCAAGCCCTTCACAGGATAGTTCTTATGTAATGGTTCACTATAGATCTCAATGAAAACACAGTTTTAAGGAAAAAAAGGAGGCAAAGAACTTAAACAAGACCCCCCTGAGATCATTTACCTTTAAAATACATTTCTGCTTATTTTTCACCTCATTCACATCTCCAAGGGTAGCTTCATAGACGTGGGCAAAAGCTCCTTCTCCAAGAAGGCAATTGACATACACCAGCGAAGGACCTTGAAAAAAAAGTGTTAAAATGAGAAAAGGCCCGAATCATTAGTGACTACACAATAAAGAATTTGTACAATTTTTCTTGGTTTTCAACTGCTCTGATGAATCAAAATAAATAGGGGAAGGTCTAGAAAAAACTGAAAGAAAGACCTGGTACCAAAGAGGCTTCTTAACAAATCTCTGGCACAGAGGTGCGATGTTGGCTCAGGACACTGAGCTGCATGGCCTTGGGCATGTGTCTCCCTCTCACCAAGGATTTCACATTTTAGAAAGGGTACTCGTGCTTCCTGCTTTGTATGACTTTCGAGATGTTGGTAAGAACATGTAAAAATCTTTTGTAAAGAGCCAATAAACAAAGTTAGGGACAATGTATGTGTTTTTACAACAGAATAAAAAGGACAAAGTTCTACATAGTATATAGCCAGTTGCCCTACAATTAACTTTTTGTTTTGAGGTGTGTGTTTGTGTCTGTGTGTGTGTCTGTGTGTGTGTGCCTATCCTGGGGCTTGAACTCAGGGCTTTGCACTGTCTCAGAGCTTTTTTTTTTTTTTTGCTCATGACTAGTGCTCTATCACTTGAGCCACAGCTCCACTTCAGATTTTTTTGGTAGTTAACTGGAGATAAGAGTCTCCCTGGCTTTCTTGCTTGGGCTGGCTTTGAACCACGACCTTTATATCTCAGCTTCCTGAGTAGCTAGGATTACAGGCATGAACCACTCCAGTCTGGCCTGTTAACTCTACATAACTATGGCAGGCTTGTCACAAATAAAGATCCACATAGTATGTTCCTATTAACTAAATGCCACACTTTCTTCAGATTTCACTAGTTTCTCCATGTGTTACAGGATATATTACTTTTAGCATCTTCTATATACATGTTATCAAAGAATTCAAAATTATGTTCTCTATTAATTCTTACCTAATTGGAACTCAGTTTTAGGCTTGATGGTTGGAAGTTTATACTGGTGCATAAAAGTATTTGGATATGAACTCACTGGTTTAGAAAGTCCAGATAAAAGTTTGAGAATCAAGTCATTATCCCATGGGTTTTCAACTGAAAACTCTAAGAGAAATAAGGACAAAAAAAAGGAACAAATTAATGCAATGCAATTTTAGAGAAAGCAAGTTGAGATATTAATAAGTTTTCAAAAGCTTTGATCTTAATAGAGTATTAATTCAATAATAAGCTCTTTTCAAATGTCAGAACTGATATTGCAGTATTTTAATTGCCATTTTAAATTTATAAGTTTGGCCAATATTCATTTGTTGAAAAAGGGAATCAATTGGCTACATCTTTCTGAATGTATGGAGGTACTAGATCACAACTTTAATGATGACAACTGTGTCTAAAGACACAATTGGACATTAGTTACTTCTAATGTGATCAGACACACATATTCTTTCACTGTTTTTCCTCTTATACCCACATGCATAAGTATGAAGTATTAGGGATCAGTCCCAAGGCCTCTCACATACTAGGCTAGAGCAACTCCTCTACACTCTAGCATTGACAAACTATTTCTACTATGTACAACTTGCACATAGGAGATGGGCTTTGGCTCCATGAAAAACAAAAACACTTTTTAAAGGGAAGACAAAGCCTTCTCTCCAAGAGTGTTATGAAATTTCTGAAAGCCTTACCCACTAGGGGGTTATCATTTCCTTAGAATTAAGCATGTATAGAACAGTGTTCAGATCATTTCACATTTATTAAGGAACTCACATAGTTTTTCCAATGATCCCACGAGGTAGATACTAGCACTACTTGTGTTTCACACAAACCAAAGAGGGACATAGAGAACTGAAACAATCTTAGTCAAGGTCACATGACTACTTAGGTGGGAGTGCTAGCATTAGAACCCAATTTAGAATCTAGGTAGTCTATTTGCAGTCTGTGCTCTCAACCACAAATGCAATGCTGACTAGTCTGTAAAATGAGGGGAATAGTATTATAGGCCCTTAGCTTCTAGTTCCCTCTTTTCTTTTTGGTTGGTCGTGGGGCTTGAACTCTGGGCCTGGGCGCTGTCCCTCAGCTCTACAGCTCAGGGTAAGCACTCTACCATGTGAGCCACAATGCCACTTCCATTTTTCTGGTGGTTTAATGGAGATAAGAGTCTCAAGGACTTTCCCGGGCTGGCTTTGAACTGTGATCCTCAGATCTCAGCTTCCTCAGTGCCTAGGATTACAGGTGCGAGCCACTAGCATCCAGCTAATTCCCTCTTTTAACAATAGTTGTCTTGCTATCATTTAAGATTAAAACACACTGACTTTCCCTTCAAATGTATTGCCACTAAACAGAATTGAGATGCAGTTATAAGTTTTGTTCTAAGCATATGTTCTACTCAGTGATGTGCAAGTCCTCATTGTGAGGTTTTTCACAGAACAGCTTTTTCCATACTGTTCTTTTTTGTTTTTGGTCAGTTGTGGGGCTTGAACTCTGGGCTTGGGCGCTGTACCCGAGCTCTTCAGATAAAGGTGAGTGCTCTACTGTTTGAGCCACAGTGCCACTTCTGGTTTTCTAGTGGTTTATTGGAGATAAAGAGTCTCACGGACTTTCCTGCCTGGGCTGGCTTTGAACTGCGATCCTCAGAGCTCAGCCTCCTGAGTAGCTAGGATTACAGGTGTGAGCTACTGGCACCAGTCCATGCTACTGTTCTTATAGCAAGACTACAATTGAACATCTGTGCATACTTGCAGTATTGACATTCGCAAGTGAACTAATCTGTGTCCATTTTGCTTGAAGTGCAGGGCTGGCATCTGATGGGTGCTCCATGATGTCAAGGTCACTGCCTCTATGTTTTTGAGCCTCAAGGATCCCCACTGCCTCATGTGTGAGCACATCACCCTTGGCAGGCTGGCGAGGCTGGTGTACAGATGCTGAAGACATGTCATGCAGGAATGTTTGTACTGGACTTTTGTCTTGTATTACACTAGATATGTGACCAGTATAAGAGAAAAAGAAAGGTGATTAGAAGCCTATTTGATTTGATCACATGAAAGTTTCACAAAACAGTTACCTGTTAGTTACCATTCTAGGAATGCCATTTCAAAACTGCCTCACAGGCTGTTGATTAAATCATTTTTAGAGTAATACATAAAATTAGTATATGAATAGAAATGAAAATTAAAGACATATAATGTCTTAAACAAGTGAGGTGATACACAGGGTATTAGTGGTAGAAAATTGAGAGGAATGAGTTTCTTCCCTCAAGTTGCATCTAAGAATACTACTGTAATGAGGTCTAACTTCATTTTAAGATTTCTTACATGATATTGAGAGAAAAATAAAATATCAACCATAATTCAATATCTTAATTCATTTCTATAAACACACATGCATATGTACATGTGCATGGTAGTACACGTATGCATTCCTCATTCATCAATTTCACAGTGGTGAATTCACCTACATGCTAACATTAATGCATAACTACAAGATGCATACTCACATGATTTTGCATTTTTCATTTTCAGATTTGCACAGAGCAATAACAAATTTGAGTAAACCAACATACATATTCCCAGTATCAAGTGAAAACCAGGTCAGGCTCTGACTCACTGCTTTACTTTCATACTGTCTTTTTTGGGGTATAGGGTCATGTTTTTGTATTCTTGTGTTTTTTCGTTGTTGATTTCATTATTAAAATGTCTTCAATTTGTTGTAGTATTGGAATGCAGTCTGATACTTCTAAGTGCAGGATGGCTGAAAAGTGCCTTGTAAGAAAATATAGGTATTAGTTAACCTTCACTTGGCAGGAAGTACTGTCTCATTGGATGTGAATTCAGTGCTAACAAATCAGCCACATGTTATATAAGATGTCTTAAAAGAAAACATTGTGACCAGAGGCCCACAGGACTAACCTTGCTTTTTCCCTAGAACAGTGGTTCAGTTTAGAGAACAGAACTATGGAGAACCACAAAGAAGAGACTTTTGATTGTGTATCTCCACTTACATATGCCCTTGCATCAACATATACACATCCACAAATATATAAATGCTTATTTTCACATGAGTAAATTTATATATGTAATTTAATATGCTGCTAGTTTTACTTCTTGTCACACTTCCATTACTGTAAATTTCTTTTGGAATCGTTTTAAAGAAATGTTGTAAGGATGATAGAAAATTCCTATCAATTTCCTTTAATGTTATCAGCTCCTATTAGAAGGTACTTCTGTGAAAACTAACAAAAAACACTTGCACTTTGCTACTCAATATAACTGTCATTTGGATGTTGTCAGTTCTTCTACTATTGTCCATCTCCTATTCCAAGATCCAGTCCTAGATATGATGTTGTAGTTAGCTGGCCTGTTTTTTTCTCTCTTTACTCTCCAGTGACAATTCTGACAAGGCTTTTCATCCCAGGACCTTAACAGAACTGGGTTTCTGATATTTTTCTCACATCTACACTGTGATGACTGGTGTTTGGGAAGACGATCAGAGCAGCACAGTGTTCTCCTTCTGTGGCATCAACATGTATCACCACGATTTATCATTGGTGATGTTAACCTGTCTGTCAGGTTTCTTATACTACTTCCAAGGATTTTAATAACTTATTCACTATTTAAATAGATATTAAAGGTATTTATACACAATAAAAAAGGGCTTCCAAACCCTTACACATTGCTTTCTAATGATATGAGTATCCAAATTATTGTTGGTGCACAAATAATAAACTCTCTCCATAAGAATGAATTTTAAGCTCTTTTCTTCTGAATATCTAAAAGGATAGAATATCACTGTGTCACCTACCTATTGCTTATGGTAAAAAATAACCCTCACAGCCAGGCATTGATAGCTCATGCCTACAATTCTAGTAACTGAGGAGGTTGAGAATGGGAGAATTGTGATTTAAGGCCAGCCTGGACAGAAAAGTTTGCAAGATTCTACCTCAACCCACAGCTGGGTGTAGTGATACAAATCTTCATCCTAAGTTATGTGGGAGGATGGTAGGACCAGGACAGTTCAGACAAGAAAACTCCACGAGACTCCATTTCCATGGAGGAAAATGGATGCAGTGGCATATGCCTATAATCCCAGCAACTATGAAAAGACTAAAGTATGTAGACTGAGGCTCAGCAGTCTGCGTGCCTGAGTGGGAAACAAGACCTTGTCCTAAAAATAACCAGTGGGAAACAAGGCAAGAGGCATGGTAAGTCTTGTTTCCTTACAGTTTAACTGTTATAGAGGGAAGGGAAGTATCAAAGAAAATAGACCCTTGGCAGTGTGCATCTCACTGGATTTTTGTTCTCCTTAAGTTAAATCTCCCCTCCCCGCCCTCCACCTCTGGTGCAATCCTGGGGCCACTTAGAGCTTGCGCAATCCCAAGCTTCTTTGCTCAAGGCTCATGCTCTACCACTTGAGCCACAGCTCCACTTCTGGTTTTCTGGTAGTTTAATGGAGATAAGAGTCTCAAAGACTTTCTTGCCTGGGCTGGCTTCCAACTGTGACCCTCATATCTTAGCCTCTTGAGTAGCTAGGATTATAGGCATAAGACACTGTCACCTGGCTTCTTTTAAGTTTAACTAAGGCTTAAAGTGGTCTTGTGAATCAAAAGCTTGCCTGGACTTAGGATAACTCCAGGTAGCAGTACAGAACAACACCATGCTATGCAATCTCTTGTTGGCACAAGCCTCTCACCAGAAAAATGAAGAGAAAACACGTAGAAAATGGCCAACTTACTGATAATAAAATTAATGCAAAATTGATCTTGCCTGTCACTTGAGAATCCTATCAGTGGTTTTTTTGTTTGTTTCTTTTGGTAATATAGCTTAGCATGGTGGTAAAAACAAGGTTTCTTCTGTTATTGTAAGGATTAACTACAGGGCACAGTACATGAAAAGCATAAGTACCTTGCCTAGAATATAAGTACTTAAGAAAGCAGCTATTTTTAGTATTGACTATATGGAATGTTATAGAGGAAGTTTACGCCTGCAAAGTATTGCACCTTGCACCAACACTGAAGGAAGCTTAAGCACTCTATCTTCTTCTCTTAAAAGAAAGTTACTAATTTTTTTTTAATGACAATGGGTATAAAGGGGCGATTATGTGTTGGCACAACTCTGCAATGGTTTTTGTCTGCTAAGAGGATTTGCAGTTTTAATCTTGAAATTGAATGGAAGTCAATTGTGTTAAATGTTCTCACAAGAATTCTGTTACCCCAGCTGCTTTGCTCTTGTCCTGCTATACCCAGTGCTCAGGCTCATCACTATGGTCATACTCATTTGCTCACTGTTGTGGTATACCCAGTGCTCAGGCTCATCACTATGGTCACAAAATTCTCACTTAAAAGGTACCAGTGAAGAAAAATTCCATGAGCCCTTGAAGGTTTGGATTAGGTGTTCAATTACATCTTAAAATGCGAAGCTACAATGAAATGGAGAAAACAGCAAAATCATACTATACCCGAATTTTCTGCTTTTAGGAGGCTGTACCCTATTTTCTTCATGAGAATTGAAAGTTGCACATGTACCCTGTGTTGTCACCATATTTTCTGGAACATACAAAAAAATAGAGACAGACACATTATGTGCACATGTGTGTATACAAACATTTGATATTTACAAAGTCTGGAATTCCTTTTTTATGTGGACTTGCACAATAGTTTCAAAATTGTATTCTATGATAAAAATTGCTATAAAAAAGTAATTTATATCTATTTTTCCTATGAACTTGAAGAAAATTACTGTGCTATTGGTCTTTACCAAACATACAAAAAATTCAAGCACAACAGTTCAAGACCTTTGAAAAATCAAATTTTCAATGTAGAGTGGGAAGTTGGATGAATCAGTGCCTAATACATAGCTATTGTTTAATACAGCTTTCTTCAGATATACTTCTTACAGATTATTTTCAATGTGAGCCAAGAACCATGTCTCCTAAAAACAGCCTAATGTCACAAATGGGATGGATATTAATGCCAATTAGGATGTGATTCTTTCCTTTATCTCTAACATTAATCCACCTAAATGGAGTCAATCAATGTTCAATGGCTGATTTTAGAATTTGCTCTTTGATTTCAAAGAGAGAAATCCCATATAATGAATGGGATTTCTCTTTCCATTCTTATTGGGAAACTCCTGAGACAGAATTTGAACATATTAAAAAACACTATTTGAAATGACAACTATACTTGGCCTAATAGCCACAAAAATACTGTACTGCTTGGCAAAAAATAAAGTGTAAAGTAGTACCTTCATATTGATGAGTGATTATTTTGCCCTGTATAAGGAAGTACAATGTACAAAAAAGGATATTCTAAATACATTATTTCCATTCATTTAGCACAATTAAATCCTTTGGTTTCACTTTGGCATGGAAAAAAGTTGCTATAAGATTGAAAAATGAGGAATAACATCACTGAAAAAACCTATTGGGCTCTGTTTTCTCTGGCCTGGGAGCAGCTCTTCTGCCATACCTCACCCCTGAAAATGTATGCCTGCTCCAAGTTTGCCTCTACTCCCTCCTTGGTCAGGAGTACCTGTCAGCTGCTGAGCTGACCCCTATCTGCCGTGGTACTGAATCAATCGATCACAGACACTGACAGATGAGAGCCACAGCAGCTTAGCTGGCCCATGTCCCCTGACCTCACGTCCCCAGCTACAGCTTCCAAACCAGCACCCTCAAGGGACATCGACACAACAGCCAAGTTCATGGGGGCTGAAGCCAACAGTTAGGGTAGCTGGTGAAACTGGTGTGCCTGCCACCCCCACCCGTCACCCCCCTCTTGGTAAGTCAGTCTGTCCACAGTGGCCTGCCACTCTCTGGACTTTTTTGTCTTAAGGATCATAGGAACTATATACAAAGAGTCAAATGCTCACATATACTAGCAATAGGTATTTGTGTGTATGTGTGAGATTGGCAGTGTTTCGGAGCCTCATCATTGGTTATGCCAAGAATCCTCTGAAGCAGCAGCTCTTCCCCTATGCC